TTGGCTTTATTGGATTTGGGTTCCCAGTGGTCATTGTTTTTTGACATTATTGAATTAAAGAGGTGTTTTCCACCAAGAAAACCTTTGATTTATATAAATTCTTGTGGGAAATAATAGAGCATCAGGAAACGAAAACTAAACATGCAGCCAGAACAACAGTAGTGGTAACTGAACTTTAAAGGCCTTCATGGTGTGAAGTGAATAGTTGAGCTTTACTGGGAACCAGTAATCAAATAAGAACATGAATTTATTTATTTATTTATTTTTAAGCATTTTAAGGGGCACCACACTATGCAAAGAGCACCAGTGCATTAATTTAAAAAGCAAAATTTCCATAGTGTGAATAAGTAAAGTCATGCTCATATGGGGAGGTAGAGCTCCACAGGGGAGTGGTCCATTAGAATGAGAGTGGGCACAGAGGCCTGTTTAAACCTCCAAAACACAGACTGCTCATTATTTAGTCTGCCCTGAGAGACTTAATAATCACGGCTCTCTTTCTCATATCTCTGACCTGAAATAGAAACCTTTCTTTTGTTCGACTGGCATGAAATATTACAGTGTCAAACCAGCAAATCCTGCCTGAGACCTCATGACATTACCTTCTGCTGTTCTTCCTACGCTGAAACGCTCAGCGTTCAGTATGTCTGGTCATCACTGCAGAAAAAGGTTAGTGCTATAGTTGAGATGATACAAATGGAAACAACAACAACAGGACCATGCAACAACATTTTGACCTTCACATCACATGTCTCGCTGGAAATTGTGGTGACACTAGAATATTCCCACACGTGACACACTGTGAATTAGAGTCGACACTGGATCAACCCACATCTGCAGATCATAATATTCCTCCTGTCACTGTTAATCTGAGGCTCTCTAGTGTAATTATATACACACAGTACCCCAGCAATGAGGCTTTTCCTAGTTTTGATCACTTTTGGGATGTGGCGTTTACATTTTGCACAAAAATCTGATTTTCCATTTTCCCATATATGTTGACATAAGTGAGATAAGGTCGCCAGCTCAGTCACCTTACCATACCTGCGATGGTTGTTGGCAGCTGTAAGAAACCAGCAAAAGGTGTACACATGCAACAGTATCCAGGTTGATCCTGGTTGAAAAGCCCATCATAACCAGCCTACTCAAGTCCATGTAAAGGCCATCAGTGTGTCTGTCCAACATAATGCTGCTGCATCTCTTCCTGACCCCCTGACTGCCTGAACAGTTGGAATGATCAAACCTGTGCTGGTCATTTTTAGCGCAGGGTGAAAGCCTGAATAGTTTGACCACTACTCTGGTCAGGGTGGAGAGGCTGAAGGTAGAGGAGGTGGAGACGCCAGGGGGAATATTGCTCAGCCCGAAATGAAACCAAATCACATTTAACTGTCAGACCACAGAGTCAGACAAAAATATTTTCGCATTTCAGATCTACAGATTGTTTCATTTTCCCCCAAGTGATACTGAATGAATCTATGCTTCCAAAATGGCGTTATTTTTCAACTGTCTCAGTTTCGTGATGGCTGTTTTTTATGCTTCATTATCTACGTACAGCCAATTATCCTCAGAACCTCCATGATGCCACCAGATGTTACTGCTGGCACGCTGGTGACACAAGGCAAAGCCTATATAAGGGATGGAGAGACTCAAACACAAGATGACAGATGTTGTGGTGCACTGAGTGAATCAAAAACCAGTGGAGGGAGAAAATGATAAGAAGTACTATGTAGAGAACAGTAAAGGAAATTCCAACAGCAAAGTATTGGAGAAAGCCAAGAAAGAGACAGAGGAAAGAGGGAAATACAGATTGTGGTCCAACAGCTGAAGGACTCAGCAGGAGAACAGATGGAACTCCTCAAAGCTGCTGCAGTGACCTAAAGGTTGATAAAACAAGGGCGTAGTAACAACACTAAAACGAATTACTGTGATTTTTCT